AAATAATGGTGGGCAGCTCTGTGGTCTCATCTAAGGATGGAGAGCAACTTTTGTGAGGGCATCAAGAGCCAAGCATGGGACTACAAATTTGTTGCAACCACTCTGGAAAGCAGTTTGGAGGTTCCTCAGAAAACAAAATTCAAATGAAATCACCATTTGACCCAGTTATCCCACTCCACAGTATATACCCCAAAAACTTAAAATCAGCAAACTACAGTGATGCAGTCACATCAATGTTTATAGATGCTCAGTTTTTCAATAGCTAAACTATGGAACCAACTTAGGTGCCCTTCAACAGATGAATGGATAAAGAATTGTGGTATATATACACATAGAATATTACTCAGCCCATAAAGAAGAATGAAATTATGGCATTTGCTGGTAAATGAATGGAACTGGAGACTATCATGCTAAGTGAAATAAACCAATCCCAAAAAACTAAAGGCTTAATGTTCTCTCTAATATGTGGATGCTAACCACAATAAGTGGGGGGAGGGAAAAATAGAAGTTCATTGGATTAGACAAAAGGGAATTAAGGGAAGGAAGTAGGTGTGAGGGGTATGAGACTAGGAAAGATAGTAGAATGAATTGGACATAACCTTCCTGTGTTCATATGTGAATACACGACCAATGTAACTCCACATCATGTACAACCACAATGGGAAGTTATACTCCATGTATGTATGATATGTCAAAATACATTGTACAGATAGATATACATTAAGTATACCTAAAAGGAAGAATAAGAAGAAAGAGCCAATGAGAAGCCCCTCAGTCAGAACTACAGCCTGGAAACAGAAATAAAAAGTGCAATTGGAGATGGGCCCTGAAAAGGCAGGCAGTCTGACAGAAGTCAGAGGGTTGTGGTGTATCACTGAAACAACGGACGCAGGGCTGGGGTCTGAGAACAAGGAAGTGAAACCTGGAGGTGTCCCATAACTTGAATGACAGAGACAGATTGATGTTCTCAGTGAGGCTGAAAAACAGGCTGAGCTGATGAAGTGAATCAGGGCTGCACAATAAGATGGCTGAGGGCAGAGAGAGGGTGAGGCAAGGTCTGCCACCCAGGAAGAGGATAATGGCACCAGGAGGGTGTGACTGTGGGAACCAAAGGGTGGTGGAGATGAAGCAGGGGCAATACGGCAAGCTAGGGAGAGATTCGGATGTTGGGTGGGTGGGCCACTGGCAGGGTGTTGAAGATGTCTGGGGCAGGCGAGGAGAGACACCAAAGCCACTGGTGAATGTGGGAGGGTCCCTGGGGAGTCAGATCAACCAGGACAAGGATGGATAGGGGCAGCCCAATGGTGAGGAAGAGCAAACACCTCCCAGATAGAGGTCAAAGAAACCCCTGAACGCCAGTGCGGAGACAGGGGACTCTCAACGCCAGTGCCTGGTCCTCAGAGACAAGGTGCAGAGGAAACCACACTGTCCACTGCAGAGGGTTGTGATGGAGGTGGGGGTGTCATTCCAAAAAAACGTGTGTGTGTGTGTATGTGTGCAGTGCTAAAGATCAAACCCAGGGCTTGCACATGCTAGACAAATGCTCTATCACCAAGCTACATCCCCAGCCCTTTTAAAAATGTTTTATTTTGAGATAGGATCTTGCCAAATTGCTGAGTCTGGCCTCAAACTTGCCATCCTCCTGCTTCAGGCTCCTAAGTAGCTGAGATTACAGGTGTACCATACCCGGCAATAACAAAAAAAATTTTTTTAAATATTTTTTTAGTTGTCAATGGATCTTTATCTTTTTACTTATTTATATGTGGTGCTGAGGATCGAACCCAGTCCCTCACAAAAGCAAGGCAAGCACTCTGCCACTGAGCTACAGACCCAGCCCCAGCAAAAGAAAAAAAAATTGAGACTTTCTAAATACAAGACAATATCTTAGTTGGGTAGAAGAAGAAGAGAATGAGTTATAATGGTAGAAGCATACCACTTTAACCTGCTTTTTCATCTCAAAATATAAATGTTTTTCTATATGAATTGTTACTTTTTTATAACATGGTTTTAAATTTCTACAAATAATCCATGGAATGGATGTAGCATAATTTAGTTAGCCAGACATGTATAAAGAAAATTTATGTTTATAATTTTTGCTCTTTTAAATAATGCCATGATGAACACTATAAACACCCTTATCTTTGGCAAGCACACACATACACACACACACACACACACACACAAAAATGCTAATAAAACAGCACTGCATTTCATATATTCCTAGTGGTCCTTGGAGCCTTGTGGCTTTGGGGTCCAAGTGCAGGGTGGGGGACGGGATGCAGGTGGAAAGAATTTCACCTGCTTATATCAACAATGTTTTATAAAAATGAGTATTTGGGAAATTGATGTTAAGAGTGCTATATAGGTTACATATATAATCTCATTTATTATTAAGGATTAAAAATATAACTTACCTGCTGCCCCATCCAGCACAGGCAACTGAACCAAAGTTACTCATGTGAATTTGGGGTGACATGAAAAGACCACACAGACATGGAATACCTTTTTATAAGCTTCAGGACGGCTTCCCTGGTTCCGGCCCTCAGGCTCCCACAAGGGAGGCAAGAGAAAGTCACAAGAGGCTGATAGAGACGGGAGCACATGTTCTGGAGCTGGCTTTTAATGGGGGACTCTGTTTCTTGGAACATTCTATCTGAGAACGGCAAGCAGTAGGATTACATAGGATCAGGTGAGTATAACTCAACCCCACCAGGTAATGCCTACTCCTGGAGCCACGCCTCATTATCCAAGCAGAGGTAAGGCCTAAGTTATTGCGGGAGCAATAATTATTCAGTATCTCTTGCTCAGGACTTGAGGGCGTGTATTTCCAGAGCAGCTCCCAACATTTACCTGTGTTTACTGCAATTCTAATTCCTAGGTGACTGTTATGAAGGAAAAGGAGAGCGATGCAGGGATGGAGGGCAATTTGGATGAGTCGTGGACCAGCTGAGATGTGGACATACATATTGAAACGAACAAAACATATATTGTATGGGTTATATTGTATGAAATTCTGAACCATACAAATTTTAAATAGTAAGAAACTAAAATAGCCACAGAGTCTCATCTGATATGCAAAATTTGAAACAAGTTGATGATATTATGAAAATACAGGGCAGCCTTAAAGAAAAAAAAAGTGCTGTAAGGGCCATAGATTTAAGAACTTCATCACTTATCTTCTAAACCTTATGCTTATGACTGGGAAGAAATTATCCTAAAATAATACACATTTTTGATAAATGCTCAGTCGTTAGCTGTGCATCATTTAGAGGAAATAAAGCACATAGGAAGCTGTTCTTGGTGAATTCAGATGAGGAAATTCTGGAGATATTTGGAAATGCAATGCTGGAATTCAAGAGAGCCGTCCAGCCTTGAGTCATGAAGCCGGAAGTTGTCTGTGCATGGCTGTCAGTTTAAATCATGAGAAGGGATAAACTTGTGAAATGGAGAGTACAGATTTAAGAGGTTGAAATCATAATCTTCTGAAGCTACTAAATTTGATCACAGGAAGAGATAGTAGTGAGGCAGAGCCCTTCCTGAGAACCCAGAACGTGTCAGGACATTTCCATGCATATATTTTGTAGCATCTCATGTAATCCTCCCAATATCTCTATGCCAGACTGTTGAATACACCTGGTTGTGCAATGAGGGCAGAAAGAGGAGGTAGGCACAGCAGCTCAGCCCAGGTTTTGCAGGTCTCTCCGACTTCACTGCTTCCTTGAGAGGCATGGGATAATTGCATGGGTGAGACAGGCAGAAAAATCAACAGGCACAAATATTAAGATAGAGTGGAGAGAAGTTGAGGTAAGTCAAATGAAACGAACCAGTGTTCCCTGCCCAGCTAAATGGTTCCATCCTCCCAGTTGGCAAAGCCACAAATGCTGGAGTTGTCATTTTTCATCTCTCTTTCTCACATCTATATCAAATCCATTGGTAGGCCCTGGAGTGCCACCTCCAAATTACATCCTCCCTTTATCACATCTGTGGCCCACTGCCTAAGACCAAACTTTGACCAAAATTTGCTCAATTAGTTACTTCTTGCCCTCTGGCTACTCCTGCTCAGCTACAAACACTTTCCAATACAGCTACACAGGTGCCAAGGGAACTTGATAAATCACTAAACACTGATACATCGTGGTTCATTGTTGGGAGTTTATTGTTAGAAATGTCTTGTTCGTTTCAGAATGCTTTCCATCCCTGTCCTCTGTCCTCTAAATGTCAGTGGTGTCCCAAGTGAATGCCTCTACTCACTTCCATGGTTCTGTTCCACCCCACCTCACCCCATCCCCAGATTGAGAACCATGGAACCTCTGGTTCAGTGTGGCCACTCAACTGGCTGCTGGCCTCACCCTTTAAAATTCTATCTGGAAGGGCCCATCACAGAGGAGGTTCAGAACAACCTAAAACTGATGGACAAAAATTGAAATTGTGTAGGCATTACTCTTTAATGGGGACTGTTTATTCTCTCGTGCCATTGAGCACTTAGATAATGTCTACAGATTCACTTGCCCAGGGACCCCTTCTCTAAATATACTATACACCAGAGCTTTAACTTGGATTCTTAAAACATACTGGCTAGAAAGCTGCATTATACACTGAGTGTGTACTAAGAAGATATTTGAAACATAAATAGTGAACAAATCTAATTAAAACGGGATTCCTGTGCTATTCCTGTAGTAGTTACAATACCTCCTTACCTGAGTATTGGAGAAAACCAGTGGTTGATTTATCTGTACAAAGTTCAGGCACTTGGCTTCCTTTAGCAAGATTTCTCTTCTGAATAAAAGGAATTGTTTTTTCCTAAGAAAATGGTCATATCCTAGGGTTGGGAGCAGTTCCTAGTCTCACTTTTCCCTGTATTTGGCACCAAGATATGTTGTTTTCTTTTTCTATTCTTAAGTAGATTTTGGTGATGGACACTTGTGTGGTTCTTGGGATAACAGACCCCATACATAAGCAGACCTGGGATGAAGTAGGCAATAATCATGACCATATTTCAGTTTAGAACCTTCTCTATTAAGAAAGGTCCTTCAGGCATTTTTATTAATAGTCAGATACAAGTTTGACAAGAGCACCTTTCAAAGTCACAGTTCCTACTGTTTTTATGAGGTCAACCAGAAGGCAGAGAACTTAATGGTAGTGGTTTATCATGAAGACAAAGACAATCAAGTTGTCAGCCTATGCCTTTCACCCTCTCTGCTTCTATCCTCTGAGGCACGAAGAGAGGCTGGAATTCAAGATTTGATGTTGATCTAAACACATGTGGCACTTGCTTTGACAACAGAAAAGGCCCACCCATGCCAGACCTGGACAAAATGGTGGCTAAGTTCTCTGTGTCAAACCTTCCCATTTCTACTGTGTCTAGCCTAAATCTTGAAGTGTCTGATCCTGCCTGGGCATGGGCGGACCAATGGATCAGCAGCACCAGCAACACCAGGCTGTGTTTTCCCAGGGTGAAACGCTTCTCCTGAGGCTGACTCCACTGAGGCCACACCTGAGAAGGCATAGCGCAGGTCGTAATGTACCCGGTGTGACGGGGGTCCTATGGGGGGTGACACCACCATAGGTCCAACCACCTGGGATGCTGCAGGCTGACCAGCCGGAAGGGATGCAGGTGTAGCTTGTTCCACGACAGCTTCAGGGGTTGCTACATTGGTGTCTGGTTGGGGCTGTATGACCACAGGGTAGAGAGAGGACCATTTCCTGAGGTTAGCTTGCTTCTTCCTCCCAGATAAAGCCACCCACAGGTCTGGGTGGCACCCCCAGCCCAATTTACTCACAGTAAGAATTTTCATTTGTAAGGAATTTCACAAACAAAACAAACCACCCCCCCCCCCCCCGCCGCCACAAACGTGCATATGTGCAAAGGATTCTCATCAGGTTTACAGGGGAGAGACAACTAGCCTATGGGGGCCCCAGTTTCACCAGGATTGTTTTGGTGGACAGTGGACCTCTGCACACATGGCCCATAAGTAAAATCACTCCACCTACAGCTAATTCGAAGTCTTTTCACCTACACCTTCAGCTACTGGGAGCTGTCAGACAGACCTACTCACCTGTTGCCCACAATTAAGAAACCCAACTCCACCTCCCATACATGAACAAATGGCCTTGTCAACTACACACTAGTGTGGTTCTGCCCTGCAGCCACGGGTGCATGGGAGGGAAAGACATGGATGAATTATCTTTCCAAGTGTTGATGATTCCATGTACCATATTACATTGTGAAGTTTAGGAAGACAGGACAACAAATGCCTTGTCATTACTAACACGCTGCATGCAGGTTAAGGGGGTCTCTGTATTCTGAAGATGTAAGAATATTCATGAAGTTGTTACCTGCGTCTGGAACAGAGTGCAGGTCACTGCAACCTCTTCTCCACCAACCTTCTCGTTGAGCGTTGCCTTACAAAAGCCATATTGCTGCCCATAGAGAGAGGAGAGTCATTTTAACGGATATTTAAAAAATGGACTACTTTTTAATTTTTGTATATGTTCTTTTTATATATACATGACAGTAGAGTATATTTTGACAAAGTGATCATATTACGGATTGTCTCAAAAATGTATAATTGTCACTAATATTCATAATTATTACAATATATAGAAAAATGTTTATACTGAAAAAAATGGATTTCTTCCCTGGTTTCACTGGCACTGAACTACACTGAGGCAAAGAAACTTAAAATTTTAATTTTGTTAAAAAATCTTCCTAAAGTTTAAAGATTCTGTATATGACACATATACTCCTATATATATATATATATATATATATATATATATATATATATATATACACATACTCCTATATATATAATGCAGAAAATAAAGAAATGTTATGAGAGAGAGAAATCACCCAAAATCCCACACATAAATAGTCTGACCCAGCAAGAACTACTGTTAATATTGATGTATTTCTTTCTAATTTTAGATTCTATTAAACACAACTTAAAAGCTGAGATAATTTTGATTCTATCATTTATGACCTGAAATAATAGCATTTTTTCATATCATTAATTATCTTGAATAATTTCTATTTATTAATGTGCCATGTATTATTCAGTGGCACCCTTCTATTGGACACTGAGATTTTTCCTCCTTTTCAGTCATTTTTATCTATGATAAACCATTATTTATATGTATACATATATATACAACCTTTGATGATTTCTTTAGTTTAAATTCGTACWAGTGGACATTACTAACTCAAAGACTTGAAAGTTTTCACACAAATGGTACAACTAGGAAATCTACACATCACACTTCCAACAGCTGGGTGTAACTTGTCTTCATTAGGAGACGGCTTCTGTCTTTCTCCTAACTTCATGTGCCTCCAGTGAATGAGATGATTTTGTGACAGCTCTTAAGGGCAGAGGTGAGACCCCAGAGAAAGATCAGGCATGATCCAGGCCCACATTTTGCATAGCCATTTTCTTTTTGCAGCCCCAAGATATAAGTTACATAAGATGTTCTGTCCTATAATCAGCTTTGCCTGGGTAGCAGCAACCTCAAGTTCTGGCCCACTCACCTTTTCTGCCAGCAGGTTGCATTTGGCTGGATCTGTGACTTCTTTAGCAACACAGTCAGTGGCAGCCACTGCAAACTCCACATAGGTAGAAACTGGGAGAGGCTGATAAGAATAAATCAAAATGCACTTGAGGCAATATGACTTGAAATGAAAAGGGCAGGGAGAGAGAGGCTGGAGAGAAATAATAAGAGTCATGGCAACAGGACAACTTCAGGGAACACCATTCACATAGACCGTATTTTGTGGCCCTGGAAATAAGCCCATGCATGGTTGATGGGACAGTTGTTGCGGTCGGTGCTCTAAAGTGTTTGTACTACAGAGGTAGGGGTTGGGTCTTCCCYGAAAGAGGAGCAGGTGTTTGTTGCCCATCATTTAGGACAAAGGTGAGTTTTCAGACAGGAACAGGAAGTCAGAAGGCCTCACTCAGACCGCATGAGTGGAAACCCTGCCTCCCCCTGGCCCTCACTCTTGGGGCTGCACTAAGGTTTGAGTTATTCCAAGATGGGTTGGGAAGGTGAAGAGATAACAGCCTCTCCCACTTATAAAGTGGGATCAAGTGAAAAATTTTAGATGAAAGCATGGAAGATACTGCTTGTATTTTTCCTTTTTATAGTACTTGAAGTCTGTGGACACTTACAATAATAACATGTCTGTTATTTGGTGTAGTCTGGGATGAAAATGTTCCAAGAATCACATATTATGGTTAACAGAATCACCACATAAAGTATTTTTAAGTATGCCATAGCTGGTATACAAATTACCAGATTTCTTAAATATTAGAATCCGGTTCCTTCAAATATGCTAAACCATCTGTAGTACAGTTGTGGTTTTTTTTTTTTTTTTTGGGGGGGGGTATTTTTTGTGGCGATTCTAAAAGCATTTTTAGAATCTTACCATTATATGCCTATAAGTATAAGTAGGCTCCTGCCTTTGTAAATATTAATTGCTAGACTGTCGCTAATGGTGGTGATGCGTGGTAAACCTGTGGATTTACAGTGAGTGTGTCTGGATAATATGGGAACCTTCATCTCTTGAACATGGAAGCTGGTTTTAGCTAGAACGAGAGAAGATGCATTGTGCCTACCTGCAGCGTCTGGCTGCTTCATGCTAGAGGGTCTCAGGCTGGTGGAGGCGAGGTTTAGGGGTCCTCATGACATTCCCAGTCCTCATACCTCAAGGACACCTTTTTTTGCCTCTTTCCAGCCAACACACTCCTTCCCTTCTGGCTGCTGTCCTTGCACCTGTCCTTTCCTCACTCCTACTTCACCACAAGTGCCACCAAACTGCCCAATCTGTCGAACAGTCTGTTTACCACAAGTTGAGCGCGGGAAATTTCCAAGAGTTGGTAATAGGAGCCGTTATTCTGCGCGTTGAAGGCGGCCAGAGCGGCTTCTACAGCGTGCACCACCCTGGTGTCGTTAAGCGGGGCCAGCAGAGGGCAGTTCGGACACACCTTGCGCACGTCTTCCGCGGAGTCTGCGCAGAGAAGGGAAGGGCTCCTAATTTTCCAGGGCATTTGCTCCAGCTCCACAAACTTACAAAGGGGTAATATATGCTGCAATGGCTTTTAGGCTTTATCTCTGCTTCTAGGGATAAACCTCCCAGTGGCTTGTGTCATGCTGAAATTTCCGCAGGAATCCCTGTCACTAAGGGACAATTTTCACYTCCAATGAGAACAGATCCTTAAACCGTCTTTAAATCTCAGGACCCAGGAAGTTTGGCTTCTCCTTTTCTTAACCAACCAAGTGACCTAAACTACTTAGGATCAAAACTATTCAGATTCCTTCCCCTCTCTACAAGGTAAAAATAATAAGAAAAAGAAGCATTCGTACCTGGGGTGGAATCACATTTTGCAAATATTACGGAGAACTTGCCATCCAGTTTCAGCACATGGACCTTACAGTCTCCTTCCACAGCCTGGTGAAATAAACCCAGAGTGAGGGCCCAGGAGCACTGCTGGCCTTCACTGTCACCGAGGAGGAAGGGATTCCTCTGCCCCCGCCCCCTCCCCACAACGCCTTGGTTGTCTATGGTAACCCTCAAAAAGTCATCTTCACTGGGGTGATTTTGAAACACTGTACTCTCAGCTTTCAGGGAGGGCTACATCAAGGAGGCTAAATTGTAAAAATCAACGACATGGAAGGTGACGTTCAATGCCAGTTTTAGAAACTGCATACCGGCTGGATGAGAAGGTAGGCTGGGAAGCCGGATAGAATGGGACCTGCTCTTTTCTGAACTGCGGTGGAACTGAATGAGGTATCACAACAGTCACCATAAGAAGGGTACTCACATGCTGGGCCACCTGCCTCACGGAACAGTTTGCCAAAGGGGTCGGGTCCAGAGCATGGCAGGTGGTCTCCAAYGTGTCTATTTCAAGTTCATACACCTCCCCGAAGGGCCGCTGTAGAGACAGAATGACGCCTTGGTTGTCTATGGCCCATAGACCATATTGCGCCAGCCAAAATGAGAGGCCACCCCCCCCCCCATTGGGTTTGGGCCCTCCCCCACTTTTGGAGAGGGGAAGGAGAAGTTATTCTTACTGCCAGTCTCACCTCCAGCTAGCCCTCAATTGGCCTGGGGACAGGACCATACTGTTTTTCTGTTCTTCCTCCATTAACTGGGCAAGAGGAATGGGCTTGGACAAGGGATGGAGTCACGGTTCTCACTTTGAGCTCTACTTGGAAACTAAAACTGAGTTATGATACTTATTTTTTAAATTAAAAAAGTTCATCTTTCCAGCAGTGCTTTGRAAGTTTTGGATTTCCTTAGTCAAGATGCAAAGTAAGGTGGCGTAGATGATAGCTTACTGTTTTCTCTTTATTATCTTTCTCCCTCCCTATGCTCCATTTTCCCTTCCCTTTCATCATCTACTTTCCCTCCTTTCCCCATTTTCTTTTCCTTCTTCAAGATTTTTGTTGCTGTAGTCCTTGGCTTTTCCTTGGTCTCTTCGCTAGTAGATGTCTGGGTGCACAGACGCTGCTCTCTGGTTCCCCTGCTGGTGATGAGAGGGAAGAGCCAATCTKCACTGAGAGGAGGAAGCTGTCCTATCACCAGCGTATACACCTAAATCTTTGGAGTTGTTCTTGTCATTTCACCTGATTATGTATTTTTTCTTGAAAGCCTGGAAAAATCTAAAAGACCTGGAAAATCTCATCCTAGCTCTATTTGCCTCTTATTTCAGCTCTGCCTGACTTGCTAATCACTGGAACCTCAGAATCTTCTCCCCTAAAGGATGCTCTGCATTTTATGATATGAAAGTTTGTCCAAAGTAACTTCCTGAAATGATTCAGAACTACAGTGACTAGGACCCGGGTAGACTTAGTACCCTCAAGCTCTGCCATTAGTGAAAATCATAATGTCCATCCATTGCTTTTTCCCTCAAATGTGCATGCTGTGTTCTTGTTTCCCCTGTATTGATCAGASTCTCCTCTGAGTCTTCATTATACTTTAATATGGATGCAGAACTTATAAAATCTCCCTGGGGAAGTCACAATTTCAAATATTTTCTCCTTTTTTGAAATCAGGTATCCGTTATCAGTGCAGACATCTTGATGTTTACCTTGCTTTTTTCCCTAGATTGTAAATCTTCTATGGCCACAGACTGTTTTTCTGACTTTTATGTCAGGTTAAGCCATATCAAATTGCCATTTTTATATATAACAAGCAGCTAACTACTGGCAATTTTAAAGGTTCAACTGAATATCTCCCATAGCACCTGACACTGGTTCTTGCTTAAGGAAGGTTTGAAATAATGTTTGCTGGAAGAATTACCTTAATCAGATGTGAAATCTGGTTTCAAAACAGACAGTAGACAGATACCCTTTTCCCACCTCTCCAAATCTTTCAACTGATCTCCAAGATATATTTTCTGGCCTGCTCTTTATTGTCACTGGCTCCAGGCTGTGTTGGTTTCTTGCCGGACATAGGGAGCAGTGAATCCTGTTTATGCCAAGACTTCTCTCTTTGGGATGTGAATAACTCTTTCTGGGAGGCAGCTTGTAAAGAGGAAGGAACCTAGATATGGACCAAATCCCCGTCTGAATGCATATTAATTATATGACCTCGACCAAAAATTGACAACACGTCACTCAGAGCCTTCATTTCCTCTTATATAAGACAAGGTCAGTGCATCTACCATAAAGCACTGGAGGGGAAAGGAGSCAGTTAAGGAGGTGAGCTATGTGAAAGGGCTGGCATATCGTAATAACATCTGTCAAATGCTAGTGTCATTCATTCAGAGACAAACAGAAACCAAGAAAGGTAAATTGACTTTTAGTCAATGATAACTTGGCAAATTGGAGCCAATCTCTTGGGCCCTAGTTTTTGTAGCAGGTCCCACTTTTCAACTGTCATCTGCAAAATATCCTTCAAAGCTTTTTCTTATCCTCCATCCCACTTCAACCCCCCACCCAGCAGCTTCCTTGAGATCCATGACTGTGGAACTGAACATCTCCTCTCTTGTCTTCCATCTGCCTCTTCCTTTTTACTGCTGGGAAGAAACAAGAGTTTCCCCACTGCAGCTGCATTTGTGCTGGGAGATGCTGATCTTTTGAGGTACCAGGTTGGGCTGCACACATAGGTTCTTTCAACTTGTTCACAGCAGGTTCACTTACCCTAGACCACACCTTCACTTTGTCAATCTGGTTCAAGATCTGCTTGTATCCCTGAAGAAGGAATTGATTGATGTGATCCACAGCTGCCAGGGCTGCTTGCTCTGTTTCTGGGTCATCGCAATTTGGTTCCCTATAGCCCAGTGGACCATGTGGGGCTGAGTGGCAGCCCCAGAGCTGAGAAAGGCAAAGGAGCAGGATGAAGGACTTCATGGTTGCTCCAGAGAGGCCCTGGCCAGTGGGCAGATGGCTGGAGGCTTCAGGACAACCCAGGTACTCTGCTTAGAAAGCTAGACCCACAGAGGGGCGGAGGGCTTTATTTATCTGTTGGAGCCTACTGAAGGAGTTGCATAAGGACGTGGGACGATTTCAGTTCTGGTTCCAAATAACCCCTGCAAACACCAGCCTTGGAAAAGCAAACAAGTTAGGACATCACTGGTCCCCAAGAGATCTGCCAAAGTCAATGCTTTTGTGGGGGAGATGCTCCAAAGTCTGCTTGGAACGCGGTGACAGCAGCAGAGAAAGTAGGCAGCTGAGGGAATGAGGTGGACACAACCAGCCCCAGAGGGCAGTGGGGTTGGCACTAGAGGAAGTGTCCTCTACAGGATTTGAGCATGCCATGGGGACCTCAAGCAAAGAGAAGGGATATTCAGTAATTTGATAAAATCCTCTAATGTTGGAGGATTATCTCCCTTAAGAGGGATCCTAGAGAGAGAACAAGACCCACAGATTCAGCAAAGGGACAGATGAGCTTTTGGGAGAAAAGACGGAAGAAAGAAAAGAAGGAAGAAAGCATGAGATTTTTGTTTCAAGTAGAAGACAGAGATGCCAGGAGGGGACCCCTAAGGCAGGGAGGGATATGGCCAATGGAGCAATGTAGAGTTCCCTATTCCCTTCATCCTCCTTTCTCCAGACCCCACTGGCAGGACCCTGCCACTAACAGAAAGGACAGGCACTGACTTGCCTCTCCTGGGTGGCTGAATAGGATTGGCACCCACAGCTGCATGTTCCCAGCAGTACACGAGTGCAGCAGAGCACGGTTGTGACCTAACATTTGATAAAGTTCTGGATGTGAGTCCACATGCTGAGACACCCCCAGCTAGGAACACAAATGCCCATTTGGCACCCTTTGCAGCCTTAGCAGAATAATAGTATGTCTTTGTGGCCAGAACCCAGGGCCACAGTGTTGATTCCAAGTACTGCTTTTTAAGTGGCCCCTGACAATCCTAGATGTGACCCCCAGGGAGGATGGACATGATGGCGAGAGGGAATTATCATATAGGGACTTGGTATAACCTGGAGCCAAGAAAACCAAACATAGAAACCAACATGTTCTTCAAATATTTTGAGGTCATCATTATGTATGGGTGGATTTGTTCTGTGATTTGATATTGCTTTGAGGGGAGAAAATGGTTAACAAGAAGAATAAAAGAAAGGACCAAATAAAGGGAAGTTTAATAATATTGATTTGCAAGGGTAAGGATTTGGGGTAAAGGAAGTAGAGGGTGGTGACAGGGCAGAGAAGACAGCTGTGAAGCACCATTTTGCATTCACTTCTAGCCACACACACTCATTCAGAATCGTAATGCAGAGGCTCTTGGAAATGAGGTACTGGCTCTTAGAGGCAAGGGGAACAGGTTCCTGTCATCCAGTGAGGCCAACTTCCCATCAGCCTATACCTGTGTTATTGGGCTATGCTTTTCTTTAAAAGATACCAACTATGGTCATTACTGAATATTTGAAAACCATGAAAACACTCAGTGAGTTCACATTCAGTAAGTCATACAGACATGTATGTATGTGTGACTATTTTTCACAACTCAATTGAATTTCTGACTCTGAGCCCTTTTTGTGTGAAAATTTAAACTAGTCACTTCCAGGTAACCTGATTTCCCAGATACTTGGATTGAAACTCGGTCCCATTTAGGATTGCTTGCCCTCCTCCTCTGTCCCACATTGGGACAGAAAAAAAGTATGCCTGGGTAGGAAGGGATGCATTAAGCACAAGCCCCTAAGAGCAGAAGGGCTATCCACCTTTGCCTCTGCTGTAAGAGCCTGTGTTGGCTTCTGCGAAGTGACCTGACTCAGGTCAGACATGTCTACCTGACAGGTCCATCTATGGAGCTAGTGTCCTGCTTGTCCCCTTCTAATCCATAGCAAGACAGTCTTCCCTGAAGCCAATGATTGGGGATTCCCATTTCAGTTGTGAGAACCTTTCGAGACCAGGCCTTCTCTCAGCTAGGTGCCACCCACTTCTAGAAGCCTGGGAATATTTGGCCGCTGTGCCCACACAGGTGTAGGGGGCTTCATTCAGCTCATCCTGCCGGGACAAACCATGCAGTCATGGTCTCTCCAGCACCCTGAAGTCAGCCTGCTCCTGGGAGGGGAGGGGGCTTCTTCCTACAATGTAATATCTCCCTACTCAAACTCCCCGCTGCTCCAAACACAAGGAAGCTTGGGTCTCCTCTGCCCTGGGATTCCCACAGTTGTCTGGGGTGGTTCTATTGCCAACCTGAGGGTTCCAGGGGAAAAGGAAAAGTTCTGTATGATCCTACATCCTGTCTGATTCTTTCTGTCTCATGCATGGAACATTTCCAGTCCATTTGTTCTTGAATTTTCCTTTGGTGACAATTTCTAAAGCATTAAGTATTCTAGTTGATACTAGAAAAATAAGGCAATTAAGAGCCATTAATATCTCATTTGTTATTCTAAATATGTAAATATCTAAACACACATAAAAAGGAATACAAAAATCATTCTCAGTCTCATCATCCAGAGATAAACAGTGTTCATGCTTTGGTGTACTTCCATCTTGTGTTCTTTTATGCGAAATATTATTTTAATATGATTTAGATCATAGTGCATGTACACATTTTTCGTTTTACTTTATTATTTTTAATTTGATCATAACTTGAATATTTTCTCATATTATTAAATAGAGTTAAAACATGCTTATAATGACTATTATTCTGTTGTATATCTATATCATCGTTTATTTAACCATTCTCTTATTGGTTATATTTAGTGTGTCTTAATTGATCACTATCATATAGAAAGCCTTAGGAATTGCTGGCATTCTAGTGGGTTATTTTTTTCTTTTCTTTTTTTTTCAGGCTAGATTCTAGAAGCAAAATTATTGATTCAAATGATTTGGGCATTGTTGAAGTTCTTGATTTCTATGATTACATTGCATATCAGAAAGGTCATTATATCCCTGCCACTTAAATAGTGTATCTTCTCTCTTTTTGTTCTCTCTTTCCTCTGCTGTCTTTGACTATCCTATAGCAGGAACTGTGCCTGTGCTGGGAACTTCCTATGTAAAGGTTCAGGTAAAGACTGCCCAGTTGCTACAGCAATGCCCTGCTTAAAGGAGGTTCTGTGTTAGGCACAGGACTATCAGTCTTGATCCTGAGTTCAGACACCAGCTCCCAGGGGCAGAGAATTATGAGCACAAGTTTATCATGATAATTGGCTGTTAGTCTTTGACCTTCCATCCTTTCAGTTTCCTTAGAAATGTTGCCATTTACTTACTGGAAATAAAGAAAAAAACAGATGATATTTTGATATGTCTTCCAAGATAACTGCAGTATTGGTGCCCAAGGGAGGCTACCAGTATTTTGCTGTGCCCGATGACACCAGATTCAAACTGTAAGATTTTCACATGCTGAATGCATATTCTCATGAGTGACCCTGGGTCAATTTCATTCAATTGGCTGCCACTTCTTTTAATGCCAATGGCTGATGGGCATTTACTTCATTTTCTGGTCATTTGCTTCATTCACTATGTTAATTACTCACCTGTGTCTTTTTTCAATGAGGCTCATATCACTGCAGTATAATACTATCTTTGGCATTCACATTATGGTACAACGTGCTAAAGGTGGTTCAGGGAAGCAGGCCCAAAGGTCTAGGGAACAGAAGAAGACCAGGAGATGGCAGCAAGGTGCTAGGCAGTGCCACGGATGGCAGGAATCTTGCTGAGGATGCCGCAAGGGGCTTCTGAACTTGTCAAAGGAGCTCTTCACCAGATGTCACCAGGATAGGTGATGCATTTGAACTACTCCAAGGCACAGCTCAGTGTTTATAATTGTCAATCAGGAGCTAGGTCAAGAAGGATCACCATAAACTCAGGGGCAGAATTTTCAGAGGTAGTTCCATTGGTGGCCCTACCAGTGGACACAGATCCAGGAGGAGAAAGAGCTAGAAAAGAGTGAAACATCAAGTCAGGCAAGATGAGAGATGAGAGCTAAATACACATCTCTCACAAAACAGAACACAAAAATGAACATGTCAGCAAAAGCCAGAAGAATGCTTGGCGTCTACAGGGAGGGAATAGCAGAGGTTGGCATAGATCACTGGGCAGGATTCCTGGATCTGCCTTCCTGGTACTGAAAGGGCCTCGGCCCTGAGAAGCCTGATTTAATTTCTGATAAGCCTGATGTTTCTTCATTCACCTGATTTATTGAGCATCTACTATGTGAAGTTGGGTGCCTGGATACAGAGTGATGAGAAGACATCTTTTGTTCCAGCAATTTCTGATCAGAACTATCAGTTATTATACAAAATTATCATAGAGTTATTAAATGAATTATAATATAATTATAATTATAATCTGGAGACAGATTGGGATTTATTTTTCCAACATAAAACATCCATCAATGGAATACAAATGACCCTTGTCCAAGAATCCATCGAGTTTCTGGGGTGATAACTTAGCACTGATTGCCCTGGAAGTCATTACCCATTAATCTGGAAGAACCCTTTGTATTCAGTGCCAAATGTCCACAGTTGGAAGACATGGGCCTGACCACTGCAAAGCAAAAACATCAAGTGACTGACCAGGAGGTGACTGCTCCCTAGGGGGTGGAAAGCCTCTGCAAGGCTTCCCTGAACTTTGTCCCCAGAGCCATGATCTGACTCTGCCAGCCTAAACTCTGAAAGGAAGCTGCATTTGAGGCCATAAAGGGAAGAGTACAGCCAGACTAGACAGGGGCCAGGGAGGGCAGAGCTGCAAGATTGGAGGAGGCCTCCCCCTTGGGGTCGCTTCCCCTTGGGTTCTGTGCCTTCAGTTCTAGGCCTCTCCTTTGCTGCACCCTAGTCCTGGCCCTGGGAAGGAGGCATGATATGAACTCAGAATATTTTTTTAAAAGTTTATACTTGAGGGGCTGGGGATGTGGCTCAAGCGGTAACGCACTCGCCTGGCATGCACAGGGCACTGGGTTCGATCCTCAGCACCACATAAAAATAAAATAAAGATGTTGTGTCCACTAAAAAACTGAAAAAT